CAGCTAAATGAAGAACATCAGACTCGTTTTCTTGAATCAATAAAGAAGAACAATACCGTAGTTGTAGCGTTTTTGTAGTTTGAAGGATTCCAAAGCTTTTTGTCTCTTTTCAAGAATATGAGCTAGCCAGGTTGCCAAAGACACTTAGAAGTCTGTATCTCCCATCATATGCTAACCTCAGTAAGGAAAATTTATCAATTGAAGCAGAGGAACTTTTTAACTCACGATTAATTACCACACAACAGCTTAAATACCTAGAGGGAGTAACTGGAAATCAGTTGTCTTCCATTTCTTGGTATTCACTCAAGCGTGGTCGCATAACCAGGTCTGTTATGCAAAACGTTTTGTAAATATCTGTTGAAAGTCCACCTAAGTCTTTAGTAAGAAACTTACAAAACCAAACTTTTGAAAAGCAATACACCTTCATTATTATTGGGACGTGAAAATGAAGAATTTGCATTAGCTTAGTATCTAATTATCAGTTCTGATGACATCTACATGAGTGTGTTCCTTTGCCTGTCAGTGGCCATGATTCACAATGATGTTGAAGTGAAAACGTTTGGTTTCAAAGTTTCATAAGAGAAACCATGGTTGGGTGTGTCTTCTGATGGTGTTGTATAATGTTGATGATGTGGGTACGGAGTTGTTGAAATGAAATTTCCTTACAGACTTAAAAATATTGGATTGACTTCATTGATAAATGATGAAAGTTTTTATGTAAAAAATGCAATAACGGCTTCATGTTGGTAAGAACACGTCCATATTTTAGTCAGGTACAACATAGAATGTTCATATTGGACATATGTTATTGTAACTTTGTTGTCTGGAATCTAATTTATTTTTTTTTAATTAACGTGATCCTGATTTTGTGAAGGAGATAATCTCCAAAAGTACAAAGTTCTAGAAAAATGTGATCCTACACAAACGCTAAAACTGTTAAACAACAAAAAAAAGAAGAAGTATTTTGTATTTTGCAAAAATCTAACAGTTGGATATGGTAGATTGTGATTGTTGTGATCAATGGTTTCATCCAATCTGACTGAAACTAAAAAAATGGCCAAAAAAAAAAGGTCTGGTATTGTCCGGCCTGTCAACAGAAAAAGTAATACTTTATTATATATATATATATATATATATATATATATATATATATATATATATATATATATATATATATATATATATATATATATATATATATATATATATATATTTGTGTGTGTGTGTGTGTGTGTTACAAAAAGTGTAAAAATATTACATGCTAGCGAAACACCATGCTTTCTCCAAAATTCTTTAAAGTAGCACACACCAGAACTATTCTATCACGCCTTGCATGCATTAAATGATTTGCATCGTACTTTAGACTTTTAACTGATCTTATTAGCAAGATTCCTATTAGAACTTCATAACGATTTTTCAGTAATCCTATAATTCTTTCTATATGAACCTTTACAGATGCAATTTTTCTGGTAGATTTAACTTCATCACCTGATCGCTCGCATTTATTTTTTGCGAATGCAGGAACCAATCGTTCCGAACCGGAATGAGTAGCAAAATTATCTTTTAATGTAAAACCACGACCAGATGACTCCATAAACACTTTAAAACAGTTAATTATTGATGTAAGCCGAGGAAACTTTTGCCTTGAAAATATGTGATACGGTTTCGAAAATGTGCTCTCAAGTTTCCATTCTAATTAAAATTTTGATTTTTCTGACATTACATCTATCTAGTTTTTTTCAAAAACATTTAATAGCTCAAATAGAATAGATTGTAAATAATTTATTATTAATATGACAAAAATATATATTTTCTTCAATTTAACAACAGTTAAAATTGTTTACTTATGGAGTTCAAATGGGCTAACATATCAAATCTCATATTATGCTTCATTATAACAACAGTTAAAATTATTTGATCTTCCATAATATTTCGAGTTGGTCTACAATCACCATTATGTTCTCCTATACAAAAGTAATCCATAAGAGTTGTTAAAATGTCAAACTTTAACCCGGTTAACATGCATTTCATGGTATATACTTTCTCGTTCAAATTCACTAACAAGAGACTTTATGATTATTTTGGAGATAGGTGGTGAGGATAATTTTATGATTATTGTGGAGATAGGTGGTGAGGATAAGAGCATATAATTTTTTTATAACATATTAGAATATCCTGCTTCATTGATTATATTATTGTGTACTATTTCTTCAATATTTTCAATTTGACTAAATCTTTCAGACTGGATATTATCTGTTTCACTGTACATACTTTCTAGCTCACATATACTGATAAAAGATTTCATGGCTGTTGTGGGGCTGGTTGGTGAGGCTAATGGCAGATACATGATGTGCACGTGTTTATGTTTATTCTATTTGTTTGCTTAATCATACCAATAGATCCTTAAAGTCTTACCTAATATTTTATTACAATTTATTACACATTGTCGATGAAGAGCTTGATGTTTCTTTCCGCATGATTTGTAAGAAAACACAGAAGGTACATAATCTGGATCATTTGGTGTTTTTTTTTGACCTGTAAAAAAAAAAAAAAAAAATTACGCCGATATATGTTTTTTTTTAAAATATATTTATTTTCGTCATATTAATAATAAATTCTTTACAATATATTCTGTCTGAGTTAAGATATAACAAAAGCAGGCAGAAGACAGAAGTCTTATCATCCAGCCCCGGCCCCGGCCCCGGCCTCAGCCCCAGCCCCAGCCCCAGCCCCAGCCTCAGCCCCAGCCCCGTTGTATCATTTACATAATATACAAAAAAAAAAAAAAAACCTATCATATAAGAAAAAAAAATAATAATAAAGATTAAAAATAAAATAGTATTTCAGATACGTCATAATCAAGTAAGATGTTTTTTTAAGAAACTTTTAAAAGTTTGGATTGAAGTTGTAGTTTTATTATTATTTGGGAGAAATGAGTTCCTCGAATATGGCTTTCGGTTTAATTGAGAATTCTGATTGTTTTAACAAAGTTTTTGGTATCTGATAATTAAGCAATGCTTTGTTTGATATTAATAGTATATTTGTTTAATATTGATAGTATAGCTACATGAAATACACAACAAGTGTCTTTAAAAAACTGATAAATTATGCTAAACACCTAAGGAAAAAAAAACCTACCAGAAACAAAATGTTTAAAACAAACATAGTGATATTTGAATCTCGGCGACCAAAGTTTGTTTTTGAGAATATTTCCATCTTTATCTAAAGCAGTACGACTGAGCCAAAGTTTACGACGTTCTAGATCAAATCTGATTCAGAACGTCGTAAACTTTGGCTCAATGCAATCATTTCAAATCTGGATTTTTTGTTTTGTTGTTTGAACATCCAAAAAGCGCAACAAATCTTGGGTATATTAATGAATTCTTTTGTTATAACCGCTGTCGTTCTGCAGACAAAAATTAATTTTCCTCTATACAAAATGGTAGCTGTTCGCGCCAAAGATAATAACGTATTTTACATCAAGTACAATGGTGCTTTTTTTTAATTATTAAAAATGCTTTTTTTTTACTAAAACAACCATAACTCCTTTATAAATTAACTTTTTTAATTTTTTATTTTTTACTGAGATTACCCACCAATTAAATTAGAAAAAAGTTCATTTTTTACTATATTTTTTTTTTGCTATACATTGTAGTTTTCGAGTTTACCGCGGAAAACCATATTCTTGTTATACGATATGTTTATAATATGTAAGTTGATTTCAATAAAAAGGCAGCGTATAACTATTTTTAAATAAATTTTTTAAATATATTATTATATCAAATTGTAATTATACGCTGCTTTTTTTATTGAAATCAACTTACATATTTTATATATATATATATATATATATATATATATATATATATATATATATATATATATATATATATATATATATATATATATATATATATATATATATATATATATATATATATATTGCTTTTTTTTAGTTTATTTTACGGTCAGCTCATATTTCTCCAATACCACGGATTTATAGTCTGATTTCCGTTCCGCAAATTATCTCGAAATTGTTTAGAAAAGTAAACATTTCTAGAATTTGAGAAGATTTGAGAAAAAATTTAAGAAGCAGAATATGACATATTGATATTACTTTGATATAAAACTTTGATATAAAATATTTTTAACGCTAAATATCTTTCCTAACCAAACTTATCACTAATCCAAATATTTATCTTACTTACGAAATATTTATCTTGCATATGAATATCTGTGATAATTTACGGAACGAAACTGAGACTATAAACCCGTGTATTCACCTTCAATTTAATTTTAATCTGGATTAGGTAATTAAAATCAACAAAATTAAATTTACACGCATGCGCGTTATTTTGCGCGATACGTTATTAAAAATCATTAAGGGACGTATCAACTCTATTCACGTCTTTGAATAGGGACGTATCAACCCTATTCAAAGACGTGAATAGGGTAGATACGTCCTTTCTTCAACATTTTACAAAAAAACTGCGTGTATCTTTTGTAATCGTCAAAAGTTAAAAAGCAGTACAAAACAATGATTATTGTTCCGTACCGTATCATACCAAACTTCTAAAAGGGTACGGGAAAAAGCAGATGCTTGTTATGATCAGAGAAATGTGTATTGAAATCTAAGTAACTTAAAGCTTTACCTAGCATCTACTTATTTAACAACAGATATAACCTATCTGATGAAAACTAAACAGCTTATCTGCCCACGTAAATAAACATGCGCAGAAATGTTTTTATATAGCAGGCTACTTATTTAACTCTAGACCAGCTAACGAAGTTAAATGGTTAATTCGCTCAGTAAAAGTAATGTTAAATAGTTAACTTTTTTATTTTACACATAATTTTTGATTGAGGGAATTAACCTGTTATAACTGCGTACAAATCCATGTGAGAAACGTTTAAAAAATACCCATAGAAATTCCCGTTTAATTTTTACGTCATTTTATAACAGCTATAAATTTACGCTCACATCTTCTTTATTCATTTTTGTTGTTTATCAGAGTAAATAATAAAATTTATTGCATTTAAAATACAAAATTTTAATTATCAAAACGTAGTTTTAGTCAAATGAATTTTTTATTGTTATTATATTTTTTCTACATACACACAAAAATAACTTTTTCAAAATTGATAAAAGCCAAACAATTGACGTGCGGTAAAGACAACGATGGCTCAGATATATTTTTTACTGTTGCTGGACCTGTCTCGTGCGCTGTTTGTTTGTGTAATGGTGATTTGGAAGAAGGTGTTTCATATAAAAACTGTGAAAAATGTTGTTGTGGATATGTCAGCAAGACAAAATTAAATGAATACGAACACTTTCAAAATAAAAAAGGTTTGTTTTTTACTTGAAAGATTGTTATTTTAACGTGATAATATTTTTATTGTTGGCGTTTTGACAAGTAAACAATTTTTTACTTATCTTTTAATCTAAATTTTCAAAACTACTGGAGCGCAAGCAAACAATTCATATATATATATTTCCACATAAAGATAACACATGACTTTTTCAAAAGTTGTTCACCATAATTAATTAAAAAAATTTTTTTTGAGGTGGCATTAGATAAAATAAATTTTTTTCGTATTTATTTTTTTAGATGAACGAAAATTATTAACGACACAAAAGGTCTTATACAGTTTAATATTCTTTACCTGTCTACTGATAATATTATTGGCGTTAGGCATTCTATACCACAAGAAATGTTTTTGTTGTTTCCGTAAGTTTTAATTTTAAGAAACATTTTTAATTTACAGAGCATTTGATTAAAATTAATTTACAGAACCTTTAGTAAAAACTACTTAAAAATTCACGTCATATTTATTTTATATACCAGTTGGAATATTTTTAAATTAATGTTAATGTACATATTTTATTATTTATAATTTAATAGTTTCCTCATATTCAATCATATCATCAATCATACTTTATATTTTAATAGGCCTCCCTCATCAACCAACTGAAAATAACGAAGTTAAATATGAAATTAAAATAACTACCAATGATGAAACAATTCAATTTACAGAAAAAGATAAACTGGTGTCAAATTAAAAGTTGTTTTTATTTAGCTTTGTAAATATGTATTAATATATGTGTATACATTTTTATGTTTTAATATTGATGTATTAAAAATATTGATAACTTTTAAAACGATACTTTTAATTTTGTAACTTTTGCAAATAACAGCCAAAGAACGGAAACAGCAACTTTTTGACCCTTGTAACTTTTTTTTTATTTTACACTCAGATTTTTTATGGTTTTATGAATCCGGGTAAATCAATATTACTTAATCAATAAGATCGGCAACGGAACGCCGCACAGTGAGTCATAATCCATAAAAAACTGCAAAAAACACCCCATAAAAAACTCTTGCTAGAAAATAATTAATTAAATTATAGTGTATCAAAATATCACTGAAAGACAATAATTAATTTTTAAGATTTCGCCAATTTATACGCCTTTTTCCAAGACATTTTTAAAATTTTATTTCTGGGAAAACTCGTTCGCAAAAGTCTTGCTTTAGTGTCACTCTTTTAAGATATGGGTAAAAACAGTTCAAAATTTAATTTGAAGTCATATGTTTAAGATGTTTGGTTACTATTAATAATATTTTGACAATAAATTTTAGTTTTAGATTTTATATTACTGAGATCTCAAAAATGTGTCATAAATTGATTTTTTAAAATTAGTTTAATTAGGAGTTTAGTTCAAAAACTAAAAGATTCCACTAGATTGCATGGTAATTTTAATATTTTTCTACTGATGGGTATATATGAAAGCAGAAAAAATAAAAATCATTTGCCCCAACTTACCCCTATTGAAATAAGTTTTAATAAATAATTTAAATAATTAAACCTTTTAATTAATTCGTATTTTTATATGTTTTTTTTCCGTTTTTAATTAAAACTTGAATGTAAAGTAGCAAACAATAGTTCATTGCATACATTCATCACAAAAGAAATACCTTTAGTTCCTATTAGTAAAAATACTCAAGCAGATGGTGCTAATTATCAAAACTTGAAAATCGAAATATGCAAGAGTTGACGGCATATTGCATGTTTTAAAACAGAATAATTAATAAGAAATGAATATGAAATTTTAAAAGGAAAAATGGATAGGCTAGTCAAGTTTGAGGAAAAGTTAGAAGTAGAGGAAGGCAAACCGGATACAATTATCGCATTTAAGATCAAACTAGATTTAACCACGTTTGATGATAAAGTGGTTAATGCTCTCACAACACTCTGTCCTCCCAATCATATAATGTTTGCTAAGCTAAGCCTAGTGAACTTAATAACATAGCATTGATCAGATTTAAACTAATCGATGAAAAAGCTTTATCTCTCTTATCTCTTATCTCTCTTATCTTTGGGCCTACTTTGCATCGCTGGCTCAGATCTTTTAAATATATTTTACATTTAGGATATAAGTTAGACATTATAAAATTACTTTGCCAAATACCCTGCTGAAAACGCATTACTAAAAAATAGAAAAAAGTACTTCAACTGAAGTTTAGAGAGAAGCTAAGTCATAAAGTTCATATGCCCAAACAGGTTTTGGCAACACTATCGATGGGAACACTGCCAGAAGGGCATTTGAAAATGCTGGAACTTTTGCTGATATAACAGGAGTGGCAGTAGATGTAGTTATTAGATTGAGGACAATCCTAGTATCAGTATGCTCCTGTTATGAGTTGAACTGTGAAAACTTTGGCCACTATTGCTATAAAACCAATACCCTTATACTTAAAAACTATTGCTGGTATGTTACTCCCTAACTGTTAATAAACTCTTGGAACATGGTGTACATATATCTGAGGCATTAGAACTGTAAATTGATTACTTCTCTGAAGAGTCACTAGAGGTTCTTAATAAGGAAAATATGCAAAGCTAGATTGAAACATACATTTATATAGAAAGAATGTTATGAAAAACCAGTACCAATTTCTCTTGATTAGAAGTGATCCTGTAATATCAAACATTTTCTCCAAAAAATACAAGTTTAAAAATGGAAAAACTCTTACCCCTGAAGTTTTATCTTTGTTAATGCCGTAATAATGAAATAAAGCTTTTTAATTAATACAAGGTTTTATTTTTTTGTTTTCTTGAAAGAAAAATTAGATAAGATAAATATTTATTTTGTATTTAATATATTTTAATATTATTATAATATTTGGCTGTATTTTGATTTTTATGAATCCAATTTTTCTTTTACAGCAGTAAATGTTTTCGTTTGAAGAATATAATTTTTTTAAATTAAGACATTCTTTGTGCGCATAAAAGACTCTAACACTTATACACATGTGTAGTACGAGCCTTAGGCACAAGTAAAATTTATATTAAAAAATTTGTAGTATTTCGGATCAAAAAATCCAATTTTTTTAATTTAAATCAAATTTTTCCCGCGAAAATGACACTTACACTCGTAAGCGCGCAATGGACACGTCGTAGGTACGCGTAAAAATTATTTTTATAGCAAATTTTAATTGTTCTGATGTAGAACATTCTGTAATTTGCGCTCTTATTTCAAGACATGAATCTCTTTAATATCATTTTTATACTTTTCATTGAATATAAATATTTATCTTTAGCAAAATTGTATATAATCTTATTTAATACAATAATCTTTATTAAATGATATTCTTATCCAAAACATTGCAGAGATAAGACATTATACAAAACTTTTTCGAATTTATTAAATAACATACCTAGTTCAAAGAAACACAAATGATAAATCAATAGACCAATGCATTGGCATTTTTACCTTAAACTCAGTTAACAAATGTGAATAAAAAAAAACAAATTAGTAATCATTTTATTTTTATTTTAATCATTTTATTTTCATTAATAGAAATCATTTTAAGATTGAGATTTATAAGAACAAATTACATAATATAATATCTAATAATATAAAACATATCTAAAATATGTATAATCTCAACAACTTAAAATTTAACTTGCGTTTGGCGACTATATTTTAAACTATTTTTAGTTTAGGGGAAGTACCGGCATAAACGCATTTGGAGGTACAACCGCTTTTTATCATTTCTGGATGAAAAATATTATCTAATAAGGCAACAAACACAAAATGCTTCAGTTTTTCTGATTTTGTTTATGTAAAAAAGTGTTCTTATTGAAAACGAATTACACGAAAAGTGTCATAACTTATTTTTAACTCTAGTCAATAGGCTTGGTATGCATCAATTTGTTCACGAACCAACACGCGAATCCAATATTTTAGACCTTGTTTTTTCTAATAACATTTCTTTTATAAGTAAAATTTCCGTTGAGTGCCCTTTTAGTAGCAGCGACCATAACTCAGTCCATTATTTATTAAACATTAAAAATATCAGTACAAAAAGAATTCGGAATATTTTTATGATTTTATCAATGCTGATATAGATAACCTTCTAATTTACTTTTCAAATATTAATTGGAACTACAAATTTTCTTATGTTTTCAATATTGACGAACATTGGAACATTTTCTCTAATTATATTTGGATTGGGGTAGACCGTTTTGATCCAGTAAGAAAAATACGTCATATAAAAAAGAGACATCCTTACCCTAGATATATCAAGAAAATGTTAAGTCGTAAACTATTTTTATGGAAAAGATATTCCGTTACTAGAAACCATTCTACATAAACAAGCTTACATCACATACGCCATCAAATGTAAACAAACCTTGTTTGCTTACCTCAAAGGAATCCAACTCATTTAGTTGATGATAATAATTAATTAGGCAAAAATCTAACAACAGATGTTATGTATATCGATTTTCAAAAGGCATTTGATTCTTTATCTCTTCCTAAAATAATAGCCAAACTTACTTTATTTAACAATAACAGGTAATTTAAAAAATTGGATTGCTGCATTGCTTAACAATAGGAGTCAAAAATTAAGGTTGGAAATTCATTATTAAACCCAAATCACATCGTTAGCGGAGTTCCTCAGGGTAGGTAATGTTAGTTCCAACATTATTTTTACTATATATCAATGATATAAACGCTATTGTTAACAATCTTAAATGCTCTTTAAAACAATATTCCGATGACATCAAGTTATACAGTTCAATTTGCAATACGGACTATAGCCATCTCTTAGTTGATGCTCTTGATAACGTAGTACTTTGGTCAGAAACACCAGTAAGTGTTTTTTTCATAGGATTGCGCCTGCTTTATCGAAAAAATTTGTAAACTTTAACTATAAGTTAGGAGGTCATATTTTAGATTCTTCTATTTTGAAAGATCTCGGTGTGATTTTGGACTTTCAACTGAAATTATAAAAAGCATATTTAAAACGTTGTATACATCAAATAAGGTATGCTCCGGTATTAGCTGCATGTATACATGCAGCTAATACCAGAGCATACCTTATTTTAAAATGCATCAAGCCTCGCAATCCTAGTATTTTAGTAAAAGCCTTCAACACATATATTAGACCTATATTAGAATATTGTTCTCCAGTTTGATCAACATTTCATGTTGAACTAATAAAGGTAGTTAAGAACGTGCAAAAACAAATGCAAAGTTCTGCACTTAAGAAATTTAACCTACGATAACCGACCTCAGTTGCTTGATTTGGAGTCGATTGAGTTAAGGTGAGTAAAACATGATTCATCAACTTGCTTCAAAATTCTGCATAACTTGGTCTTATTAGATAAATCTATATTCTTTTTTATTGACAACAAAAACAACACGTGAGGATATAAATACAAAATGCACAAACAACATTGTCGACTAGATATTCGCAAATTTAGTTTCTCTTACCGTGTTGTTAACATTTGGAATCAGTTGCCTTTTGATGTTGTTAGTGCATATAATATCAACATCTTTAAGAGTAAAATTAACTCAAACAATTTTGAAAATTTTTTATTCAATGTAGTACACTGTTAAATAACTTATTTATTTTGGGACACGCTGTTAGTGTCCATTAATATGGACCAGCGTGTCCTTTAGAACATGTATTATTTGTTCTGATAAACATAATCTAATTTAATCTAATACTGAGTCTCAGAAAAAATGTGCATATTTTGGTTTATTTTAATAAAAATAAGTTTTTAAGGAAACTCAGCCTTGAAAAGCTTATTTCTCATTGCGAGACATAAGCCTTTCAAAAGTTGTTAGCAAATAACTCCACAACTATCTACAATAAACAAAATGTAAATAAATAAATATAATTTTAACGCTAAAACCTAATTTTAAAACAACAAAAGC